ATATATATATAAGAGAAAGAGAAGAAAAAGAGAACGAAACTTTATTTTTCTCCTCCCCATTTAGAACCTTAGCCTTCTCTCCCAATTTGCCCGAGGCATAGAGAGAGAGAGAGAAAGAGAGAGAGAGAGAGAGATAGAGAGGGATAGAAAGATAAAAAAAAAGAATAAAAAAGAAATAAAGGAAAGAGAAGGACTCCTATTCTCTCATACGCATCGTTGAAAAGGGAAACGGACGAGTCCGAGGAAGGACGACGACGAAAGGGTCGACTGAGGGTGGCAACGACCACGACGACGACCACGAACGAACGAACGAATGAACGAGGTAGTGGTAGTGGGAACTAGTGCTAGTGGAAGAGGTGGTGATGATGATGGTGGAGGAGTAGCAGCAGCAGAAGAAGAAGCAGAAGTAGTACCAGCACCAGCAGGAGGAGGTGGAGCAGCAACAGCAACAGCAGCAGGAGGAGGAGGAGGAGGTGGAGAATGAGGAAGAGGTTCGCCGAGGGCGGCGAAGGAGAGGACCTTGTTCGTAAGCCGCCATGCGGAAAGCGATCTCAGCCTACTGTTTCTCGTGGATCCGCGGTAACTAACCGTCAGACTCACACACGACTATTCTCCCTTTTTTTTTCTTTTTTCTTTTTTTTCCCCCTTTTTTCTGCCCTCTCTGGAGAGAGTAAGTGAGAGAGAGAGAGAAAGAGACAACGTGGTGCTTTCTTTATTTCTTTTTATCTATCTATCTACCTATCTCTATCCCTCTCTCATTCTCTTTTCCTTTTTTTTTTTTTATCTTTTTGTTGTTTTTGTTTTCTTCTTCTATGCTCTCTCTTTTCTCCCGCTCATAACTTTTGCTCGTATGCCTTTTCGTCCTCCAACCACGACGACGACCGTCGTCGAATCAAGCTTCCTCCCTATTTGCATGACAACGAACGGCCCGGCCCTTCTTCTTTACACCGACGCCCATCTCTAACTCTTTCCAACTATTCGTATGTGTGTTGTGTGTGGATGTGTATATGTACCGGCATCCAGGGGAGGGGTCTCTTTATTATTATCATAAAACTGATAAAACCCTCCTATAAACGAATCAACTATAAGAGAAGAAATTTTTATTTTCTACCTCTTAATGATTTTTATGTTATCCGAATTAAATATATATATATATTTATATTACTTGTATTTTTAGCTTTATTATCTATTTATTATGTTTATTTTATTATATGTCAGATAGAACATTTATTTTTCTTGCTAATACGAGATTCAGAATTAATGTTTATGATAACGTTGATGATAAATTTTATGGGGGCGTGTTTATATAGTTAGTTGATACAAAATTAGTTCGTAGATGTTTAAAAAGTACTCTGTCTCTGTCTCTTTCTCTCTCTCTCTCTCTCTCTCTCTATCTCTTTGTGGAAATTTGATAAGATTGTAAGATCATAGGAAGGAAATTCGCAGAGTCAGAACACATTCTCAAATTTCATGGTCCCCACAGTTTTCTCCCTTTTCCCCTTAATCTCCCCCTTAGTGTCTCACTTTCACTCATTCTTTCTTACTTTCTCGTGCTCTTTCTATTTATCTTTCACGCAGGATCATTCATTCTATCTTTCTCTTTCTCTGTATGTTCGAATTTATCTCCTCACCTGTATCCTGTCTTCGGGCAGATCCGTCCTAAGGCTGAGCATCTCGCGAGCATAGACGTCGGGATAATGGGCTTCTTTGAACGCTGCCTCCAGCTCCTCCAGCTGCTGGGACGTGAAGATCGTCCTGGAGCAACAACCACATGAACCTAGTTATATGCCATTACAGCTTTTTATCTTACATAACTATCCCTACGGTTTTTTTCTTTTTTCGTGTTAAAAAATGAATTTTTCTTTTCTATTATGGATGTGAACGCGAAAAGAAGAAAAAAAAAAGAAAAAAAAATAGATCAAAATGTTTGCGCGTACGTTTTTACTTTTTAAATGGATTTTCACGTATTACACGTTTTAACACGCATACACGCATACAAACATATAAACACATATGCAGATCGAGAATCCCATTAGTCAATTGGATTTCATTCGATATTTATTTATTCTTTTTTTTTTTCATTTCGTTTTATTTTGTTTTATTTCATTTGATTTGATTTATTTTCATGTTCATTTTTATTTTGTTTTCTGTATTTTCTTTTTTTTTCTTTTTGTTTTTTTTTCCTTTATTTTATTAGTTACAATGTTTATAATCTCCATTTATCCGAAAGTATCGATCACAAAAATATCGAAGCAAGAGAGTAGTGCAACGAGAACGAGTTTAACGACAAGACAGTCCAATTAGTCTCGCGATTCGACAAATTGTAGGTTGTACACGTGGAACGAGCTGTTGGCATCTGCCATCGTTGGGGCTGTGTTGCTCGAACGAAAGCCTCGAAATTGAAAGTCATTTCCCGGACGATCATCGGCTCTCGTTAAGGTAGACGCGCGAAAATCGTTCGAACGTTTACTATATCCCTCACACACACACACACACACGTTATATATATATCTCTCTCTCTCTCTGTCTCACTCTCTAGCATACGTTTGGTTAAAACGCAGGGATCTAAAATCACTTATATTTAAAAAAAGAAAGAAAGAAAGAAAGAAAGAAAGAAAGAAAGAAAGAAAGAAAGAAAGAAAGAAAGAAAGAAAGAAAGAAAGAAAGAAAGGGTATTATAATGTGTTACGATAATTTACGAAAAATTATTATCTTTTTCGGTAAAGAATACGAAATAAGACAAAGAGAATAAAATAGTTGGAAAACTTTTGGTAGCCAATAATGTGGTTTTTTTTTTGAACCGTCGTCGTTTTATCAAAAAAAAAAAAAAAGAAACAAAATCGTTAACAGTCGTAAAATCTAACGAACAATTTAATACTCGATTCGTAATATATAACACGAAGCGATAATTATCAATAGTCGTTGATTACGTTTCCGAATCCCGAGCATGCTTTCCAAAATGATATATATCTATATATTATATGTATGGATACATATGTGCGTTTATATAATATCGTTGAGACTTTTAAAATGGATTTACCTGCTGTGTGAACAGAGATGAAATTTTATAAAAGCCCCTCGCGTTTCGGTTTGCACCCCTTAACGATTTTAACGCGAAAAAAACCGGGTGGCTGGGGGAGGAAGGGAGGGAGGGTGGCAATACACCAAAGGATAAAATATTTCGAATCGTCACGAGATGCGAAAAACAAAATAATATAATAAAAGAAAGCAAGAAAAAATAATATAATATAAGGGGGGGGGGAAGAAAAAAAAATGAATGGTGTCCGATGTTATAACGACAAGGGATAATAAAATAATATTAATAATGATAAAATAATCCTTCTTTCTCTCTTTCTTTTTTTATCTTTTTATCTTTTTCTATTTTGAAATATTCATTAAATGATTTACCTTGGAGGTAGAAGAGTTTATGCAAGAGACTCACCTATGACGACGTTTCTTCTTCTTCTTTTTACTAAAACCAGATAGACCGTCTACCGTGAAATCCTTGCCCGACTCGATGTTATGTCCAACACCTGTAATAAGATAATTAAGATATATAAAAAAAGAAATAAAGAAAGAAAAAAAGATCGATCGATCGATAAATCGATCTCTCGTACACGTTAATGAATGGTTATTAACAAATTAACGTTACTATAATTCGCATGGACAAGCTCAAGTATCGATTCTCCTCGTCTTATTACTGGTTACTCAGACACTTTTTTTTATCTTCTTCTTTCTTTTCTTTTTTTTCTTTTTTTTTTTTTCAATCTAAAGTACCTACACATATATTCACTCGAGATTGAAATCTTGTTGAAATTACCACGGTCCGTGATATATTCTGGTACCTATGAAAGATTCACCGAGTGAGTGAGAAAGAGAAACAGAGAGAGAGAGAGAGAGATAGAGTGAGTGAGTGAGTGAGTTGGCAGTAATATTTCATTGAATTCAGAGCTCATTATTCCCTGTGGCACCGGCTGTAATTGATAATTACATGGGTTCTCTCTCTCTTGTATGTTAGCGAGCCGCTCACCTACGTCGCATATCAAATTACCCATTATACCTGACTTGCCAATGAATCAGAGAATATGGGTACCTACCTATCTCTCTCATTCTCTATCTCTCTCTCTCTCTCTCTTTTACGAAAATCTAGCCTACGTGTTCATGATTTAACAAGCTCTCCTCTTCGTTACGTTACAAGCCTAGATTATTATTTAGGAAAGTAATTTAACGTTATCATCTTTAGCCCATGTAGATAGATGGATAGATAGATGGATAGATGGTTGTATGTATGTATAGCAAAACTTTGTTCGATCTATTCGTTCTCCATTTTCAAAGGTATACCTACTAACTCGTTAATAAAACTTTCAACCACACAAATCTCTAGCGCAATTTTAATCGGATTAATGTTTTATATCCCGTTAACGTGTATCGCGTTAATCCGTGTCTTGACGAATTGAATAAAACGTTTAATAGAAAGAGAAATAAAAAATAGGAGAGAAAGGGGATGAATGAGAGAGAATTTGATCGAATAAATGGTTAAAACAAAACAAAAAAGACACAAAAATGGAATATACCTAACGATCACGCGTTAAACATTTGACGATTCTATTTTCTTTATTTTTATTTTTTTTTTTTAAAGAGGATAAAATTTGCGATTCGCCAATTAACGGAAAGAGAGATCGTAAGGGGATAATAAAGATAGTAGAGAAAAAATTTACGTGAGTGTCTGGTTAACGCGATAATATTTTTTTTTCTATCTACAAAGAAAATAACCGTAACGATGAAATCGTAGCAGTAGTAGTTGTTGCAGTAACAGTTGCAAATGCAGTTGCAGTTGCAGTTGCAGTTGCAGTTGCAGTAGTAAACGACGACGATGACGACGACGACGACGACTACGGCCTGGATCCACGAGCCGAAAATAATTATCAATTATACATTAATTTCGAATTAACGAGCGAAAAGCGGCTCAGCCGTGTACAATGAACTGCAAGCCCTTTTCCCCGAGGCTAACTCTCGTTACCTACCACTACCACTAACCAACATAAGCATCAGCATCAGCCATAGTTAGCTGCTGCTACTGCTACTGCTGTTGCTACTGCTGTTGCTATTGCTGTTGCTGCTGCTGTTAGTGCCAGGTTTATGTTGCGCTTCTTTTGCTAAAGCCTGTGATGAAACGCGTTGTTGGTTGTACGTTGCCGTTCCTACTGGCCGCCCGCCCACGTTACTACTTTAAGCTAATTAACTATTAATTACGGCCTTGATACAGGTTATACGTGTTCCCTCGCGACTAATTGGACCCCGAAAGTGTAGACTGGCTTACGTCGCTGACGTAGAAGTCAGTCAAACATTTTGCCAACCATAAGTACGATGACGTTGGTATGCTATTAGAAAATCTTATAACTGATCACTAATTTTTTTTTAGAATGATTAATTACCTTCTTTTTCTCTCTCTCAAAAAAAAAAAAGAAATAAATTTCTCAATATTATCTATGTATATGGAAAAGAAAAAACAACAAAACATACATATACCCACACACAAAATGGAAAGAGAGTTCGTAAGTGAGTGAAGGGAAAAAAAGTGAAAAAAAAAATGAAAAATAAAAAAGGTAAATATGTATGTAAGTACCTTGGAATACACTGAATTCCGTCGAGTTCCCAACTTCGTACGATCTATTGTTTTCACGGGCTCTAAAGAGGCCTCTCTACGAGAACTCCCATCCCATCCCACCCCCACCCCCACGCTTTTCTCCGCGTAAACCTTTTTTTCTTTCTTTTTCTTTTTCTCTTTCTCTCTCTCTCTCTTTCTCTCTCTCTCTCTCTCTTTTCCTTCCTTCCTTTCTTTCTTTCTTTCTTTCTTTCTTTCTTTCTTCTCTTACCAACGAAGAGAGTACGCTTATTTGCGACGGACAATCGAATCGATCGTTTTAACGTTGTCAAAAAAAAACAAATTAATCGATGTTTTTTCCTTTTAATCCGACAAATTTTATTTGTCCTCAAATATATTCATCAATTTCATAATTCTCTTTTATTACGTAAGAACGTTCAACGATCTTCCCTCCATTTCCCAGCCTCAAAAAATAAAAACAATTTGTTCAATTAACCCTTTGTCTTAGAACAACGAGTTAGACTCGTGATAAAAAATTTGGACGAAAAAGAATAAGCATCACGAGTATAAATTTGTGATATACTTCGGTTGGGATCAAACGTGAACGACACAAGTCATATTAATAATTGTTCTCGATAATTTCTAATTTTAGTTACGTGTAATTCTGCGTTAAGTTATAATTCTCTTCATGATTATTATTAAACAACCCTTTAGAATCAATCATATGTCGATAAAAAGATAATCAAATATTTATGATAATAATTTTTTCTATTTATCATTGACCCAGCAATCATAAGTTAGCAAGTAGAACAAAGAAGTTAACCCTTTGGGTACATTTGACAAATGAGACTCGTCATTTGAATTAAAAAATATTATATAAATATATAAATATTTCTATTTTGTAATTTAAATATTGTTGCAAAAATATATTTATATCACCACTATAAATATATTCCAAATAAAATGCATTACTTTTACATATTAATCTATATAGCAACAAATTAAATCCATTATATATGCATAGAAATCTTCAAATAATTCAGTACTCAAGGGGTTAATAAATAAATAACCCTTCCAAAACCTATCACATGTTGATAAAAAGAAAATCAAATATTTATGATAATAATTTTTTCTATTTATCGTTGACCTAGCAATCGTATGTTAACAATTAGAACAAAAAAGTTAATAAATTGTAATAGTTATCAATCATAGTAAGATATAAGATGATTCTTTGATATAAGGTAGATGATAAAAAATAATCGTTAACTCGATTGTAAAGAATCCTCTCGTAAAAAGAAGAAGAAGGAGAAGAAGAGAAATAAAAAAAAAATGTAGAGGACTGCTTTCCGGAAAGAAGATAAAAAGGTTCAAAAAGGTGGCGAGTCGACCAGTTGGAAAATAGTCGACGAGAGAAAAGGAAGGATTTAGTGAATTTTAGCGAAACGTCGGTCTCTCGACGAGGAGCAGACTTTATAGAACTCTCAGGGAGAAAGAGAGAGTGAGAAGAGAGAATGAAAAAGAGAGAGAGAAAGGCTCTCGAAAGACTCCTATCTCTTTCTATCTCTCTCTCTCTCTCTCTTCATCCAACGGGGGAAAACAGTGGTAGTTTCGCTACTAAATATATTCTCGCGACATGTACGAATATACGCGTAGGTTATAACGTAGTTGTGTGAAAAGAGAGAGAGAGAGAGATGGTACATCCCGTAGTGGTGGAGAAGGGTAGAAGTGTGGGTGGTGGGGGGTAAAGAGAGGGAAGTAGGGAGGGGTAGGGGGTTGCAATGCTTAAACGAGGGTGTGCGTCGTGCTGTCACGCTACACACGGGGGTAGTTGCCATCGGTGCGCCGGTGGCGGGCCGGTTACCAGGCAACCGACTATGAAGGAGCCTGGATAGCCAATGGCGGCCCTCAAAATACCCCCTTCGTCTAACACGGCTTGTTTTCCGTGCTTAAGAGCGAGACAGAAGGAGCTTTTGCTTTAGTAGCTGTTAAGGCCTTAAGTCCGTGCCTTTGCGACGGACTGTGACCGAGAAGCAAAACTCTGCTTACTATGTATATGTATATATCTGTGTAATAGTATGAGTATACTTTCGTATAGGTGGGTTGTTGTATGAATATGAGTGTGAGTGTGTATGTATCATCTATGTTACTAGAGAGATATTTTATTTATATTTATATTATTTATATTAAATGTTAGATATATAATTATTATTATGATTTGATTTGATCGTTCATGTTTAAAGAATGGTATAGATTTTTATGGATTTTTTGTTTTTTGTCATTAGTTAAAATAGGAAAGATAAAGATAAAGTATTGAGAATGAGGCAAATGAAAAGAGGATGTTAAAAGGGTAGTAGTTATTGGGAATGGTTATGTAGTGACAGTAGTAGTAGTAGTAGTAGTAGTAGCAGTAGTAGTAGTATTTGTAATGGTAAACTGGTGAGATGGTCGAAACATCGTTGAGTTTCGTGTCCCATGGGGTGGACCAAAGGTAGCACGTAGCACACCCCTGGGACATCTTCCGCCGTCACTTGTCCGTATTAAGGCCGGGTACTAATCTCGAAATTTAATTTGAAAATCTTTTCACGAGACAGTACGATTTCGTTTGTGTTACATCTCATACTACTACTACTATTACCATCACCACTACCCAACAACAGTACACCCTCTACTTGCGTTACTTCAACGCTTAGAAAGAGAAAGACGGAATTAAAAAGGAGGAGTGTACGCGAACGCAAGACGTTTTAAATCGGGAATTAACCCCCGTAACGGACGTTGTGGATCCCCCCCTTTTGTATCCTGGTAATTGAAAATTCGTATTGAATTCGGGACTATACTACTAGTTTTAGATTTTTTTTCTTTTTGTCTTCTCTTTCGTCGATCACGTTCGTCGTTTTTTACGTGCATCTCTCACGTGTGTGTTTTTCTGTTTTTTTTTTTCGTTAACTTTTCCTTCTGTCTCGTCGTATAAAAAAAAAAAACACAGATTTATTTTATTTTTTCTTCCTTGTTGTTTTTCCCGTCGTTTTGTTACGTTTTCTTTTACTTTTCTTTTATCTACATTTTTAATCCTTCTTTCTTTACCTTTTAATGTTTGTGTCACGTTCTCTTCTAAAATTCTTGGTTTGTTTAACATTAACAAAATATATTATATGTTATACATTGAGAATTTATTTATTACTATACTACTATTCCGTCTG